ATACTAAAATCGTAAATATTATAATCGATTACTTATTAATCGCGATATGTATTATTTTTTTCTATCCATTTTTTTCTAATTTTAAAATTTCAATATTTTGATTATTTATTATCATCTACTCTATGTGCAAAATTATATAAAGATTTATAACTGATAAAATTAGTATCTCCATATAACATTGCTTTAAAAAGATAATACAATATATTTTTGAAGATCTGTTTTACATTTTTTTAATTATATATGTACTAATAATCAAACTGTGAGAATAAAGATATAGATCTACAATAAAGAATACAATTTTGAATATAAATCGTGACTTTCCGATGAATTATCGCGAAATGTCAAACCATATGTGTCAACAATTGTTGCGAAATTATATAACAAATTTCTTTGAAAAATTGAAATATTCTATAATTGATAATATATATATATAATTATTATAATTTTATCTTTTGTACATATATTATATTATACATATAAAAGGTCTCTAAAAATTTTATACAAACTCTCTATGGAGCAATAATATTTTATTGTATTTAAATAAAATATTTATCTCAATACTCATCCTTTATAATAAAAATCATTTAATTAAAACTAATAGAATACCCAACCGAATAGTTCTGAAAAAATAAAAATTTTTGAAGAAATATTAAGACAGAGTAAATAAATGTCGAAAGTACAACATATTTAATTAACTCGAAGATAACGGAGAACACATGCAGCTATTCTTTTGTAAGTAAAGAATGAGAGAATATTTTCTCTATTTATAGTATAATCTGCTTATTCACCACAATACTCACATTGGCGCGCAATCTTATAGGTACAACTGTTCTGTTTGATAAGAACTTTCGATCAGCATCCGCAATAAATGCAAACGATCACGACGGCGTCAGGAATTTAGTTGGCGATGTGAGCAGCCACCACTTTCTTTAAAGAGTATCAACGAAAAAGACACCTGCAAAAGATCCTACACGTGCAAATCCTTCAATCGACAAGAGTTTCTGCATATACATTGGTTCTATAATGTTCAAGTTTTGTCGCAACATTGCGACCTGTCCGGCCGAGGTTTCCGCAAGAAGATGACAAGCATGTGTCCTAGCATTCCACCCGGAAGCCTGTGATAGCTTTGAAGAAGCGTTCCACAGCAAAAGTTGCATTATTCATCATCTCGTGCACAATAATCAACGGTTGCATATTTGTTCAATTAAGAGTGTCAGATGCACTTAAATAGTTTCTACTATTACCAATTAATATATTCGTCCACCACAGATAGCACAGAATCCATTTCGATTATGCTGTAACATTATTTTGATCAGTGTGTGATATTAATTAGAATTGTGAAATAAATAATAACAGTTGTATTTATTCACATATTTATGCGAATTTTTTTGACTAGTAAAAGCATAATTATTTTTAAACGCGTTGTCCCATTTTCTAATCAAGTTTATCTAATTATTTAGATTTTACTGTCGTGATTTACATGTCATTAGATATTGACACTTCTTTTTAAACAATGTTTATTATCGAACAGATGATTATTTGATTCATGTTCTTCCATATTTTTGGACGCGTTCTCTTATTCTTTATAAGTTTTAGTACCAAAAAAGATAATTAATTTTTTGAAATTTTGAAGTTTTCATTTAGATAATAAAACTTTAGTATATGATTCTTTTCAGTCGTTCTTATTTTCAAACCTATGACGATTTCATTAATGTATATTGAATTATTTAAATACGCGCTGTTCATTTTATTATGTCTTAATCACTTGCGGCCATAATTAAATATTTCTTGTAATCATATAATTTACTGCTATAACTAACATTTTGTCATGTTTTTTCAATTTTTTGCACTATTAAAATATATATAAACAATGTATTTTTGCCTGATTCTAAAGTATTAAAAGTCGACGCTATGTTTTCGTAGACGACACTCCTAGTTATTATATTAAACGAAAAAATTTGAAAGTTGGAATGTTTTGATGTAAAATTAATCTGCAGATAATGTACTATCTAAATATTAAAATAAAATATATTTGACTACTTTTATATCGTATTATAAATCGATAATTGATATTTTGTCATTTCTTATCATGATCTTTTCTCTAAAATACCTTGTGTTTGTATAAATAACAAATAATTTGTTCATTATATATTTACAACGTTTGTTCAATTTCTATAAAAAAATCCATATGTGCAATATATACATATATTTCGAAAGTTTCCGACAAAGAAACAATTTTCTACGCGTGCACGACAAATCTCAATAATTATTTTTGTTCAAAATACAGTCTTACTCATGATTTACGCTTACAATTCAGATAAGAGCAGGGACTGAAAATATTGTCGTATTTCGATGTTCTATGCGCGTTAAAATGTGCATCTTTCATTAGCGACTATATATGCAACTATCGTTTTTATATTAATTATGAATTAAAACTGATATTGTATTATTAATTCTGACAAGCAATTTCAACGTAAGAACAATTTTTACAATCTCTCCTTCTGATAAAAGAGATATAATTATTGCTGGCTAATCATAAAACATTCAAATTTATAAACTGGCCCGGCTGCTGCGAAGTAACTCTCATGAAAACACACACATATATATAAACAGTATTTAATGTTTATTTGGGAATACGTCCCGATAAGACATATATTAAATTTATACACAGTACAGACCAGTAAAGTTCGTATTAGTAAAATCAAAGGCGATTATACATACACGCTTTAACGTCGTTCCGTTGAAAAGAAACGAGATTAATAGGAATTACAAAATAAATTCTTGTCACGATTATCTTTTAACAATAAGTATCTGTGCACATTTCTGATTCAAAACAGCAAAATCTAAACACATTTTAATAAAATCTTCAAGTGAAAGAGGTAACAAGGAAAATCTAGAGTTAAGCGAGTTATACGAACAAAAAATCAGCAGGTACGTACAAATAAGACACAGATTAAAAAGAATCCTGTGAGAAAAGATAAATTATGCAGAAATTATCTGTATTACATATATTTTTTGCTATATTTAATATATATATATATATATATATATATATATATATAGTAATATTTTTAAAATTTTTCCACAATTTTGATTAAAACAATAAAGTAAAAAGTACACTTTGTCTTAAATTTTATCAAGAAAATAATACATATAATGCGACAATATTCTGTTTAATATTTTATAATCTTTGAAAATTGACAATATCAAATATCGCTGAATAATTTGTTAAATAAAAATAGTAAATAGCTAATCAAGGAATAACCGTAAATTATTCAAAAAATAATTTAAAAATTATTAGAAAAATATAAACAAACAAATAGGTCGAACACATTATTATATCTTCGAGGTCTTAATTGTTTTGAAGTATATCTTGCATTGTCATGTGTTAGTGACATAAATATATATATAAAGAATTTCTAGTGATATAAAAATCAGTAATTATAATATATTAGTGTATTAAAATTTACAAAATTAAGAATTTGATTTTCTCTACGCCTGTATTTGTTTGTTCATATAATGAGTCTTTTAATAGATATATAATTTCAAATAATAAAGTACATGAGTAAAGATACATGATTATAAACGGTTTTTCGTCATTTCTTGCTTTTTGTTTATTTTTTATAATAAATAAATATTTGTTCTATTTCTTTTCTTTATAAATACAACAATTAAAAATTTCTTTTATTTCAAAAAGAGACTCAGATCGATAAACTGAAATTTTTATATTTAGAAAGAAAATTTTTTACATAATACATAATGTTTTCCATTAATTTCATGATTATTTATTATATTGTAAATAATACATTAAAGGATGTCGGTTAATAAAAACGTTTTACGACCACATTTTTCAAGAAAAGAAGAATTCCTTTAAGAATTTTAACTTCTGTATTTAGAGAAAGTAGAACATATATGTACTTTACTACTTAAATACCTATTTCTATCACATAAATCATTAAAATTATGTTTTTTAAATTCTCAAACATGACTAGTTTGACGATTTATTTGTTTTTCTGTCCCGTTTTCCACTACATTAATATAAATATGTATCTCTAAATTAATCGAATTATTTAGTATTTTTATACGTTAACAGGCCATTACTAAGCTAACGTTGAAATGTAATTTGATATTGATTCATCACTAATTTCTACGTGATAACAATTATTTTGTAAATTGGTCTTTTATTTATTTAACTAATTTTTGCTTATAACATTCATCTGTGTCTGTTCTGATAACAAATGATTTTTGTATCACTATTTTTGTTTCTTTCTTTTTTCTACTAATATATGAATCATAATTTTTAACTCAGCAATTGATATATAGAATCAAAAAGTTTATTTTTATATTTATATCATTTTGGCATTAATTTCCTCTTTTCGATTACAATTATTTAATATTATTAATTAATTTGGCATTTTAATAGTCTTCTTTTATAAGAATAATGAAAAATAAGTTGCGAGGTGCCGTTTTTAAAATTTACTTAGCAGCAAATTTTATATTTAATTCATCAAAACATTTTTTTTTAATAAATAAGAAATACATTTTTTTACAATATAATTGTTTTTATAAAACATAAACACCTATATCTTTGAAAATATTTCTATGTGTTATACGTATAACTATTATTCATAAAAATTTATTTTAAATGTATAATTGTATATGTGAAAAATTGATCAAATAACGAAAATAAACAGTAAATTTAATATTATGACAATATGAATGTTTGTCTTTGATAGCATATCATCATATTTTATGTTCAATTTTTATAATATTTATTATTTAATAATAATTGATACAACGTCGTACATTACATTGTTGTAATGAAGCTTTGCATTAAAAAGATTGTTCAATAATACATATATAATTATATCTTACTTTTTAATTTTAGATTTCAGGTTAACCACGATTAAACAACTGACCATAACTGCGCTAGATGTTGCAATATACTCGCCGGAAAGCACAGTAATCAAATAAATTTATTAATACTATTCTCAAGTCACAAGCAGGACGAAGATATGCAAGACGGAGGTGCCGATCCCTCCAGACAAATGGATTTCGATCCAACTGGACAGCCGGAAACGTATGAATGCCATATCTGTGGACAGACATTCGAATTTTGGCTCATTTTTGATATTCATTTATCGTCCCACGGCACCGGATCGGAGCGTAAGAGAAAGTATTGTAATATATACATTATTGTATATTCTTGTTCTAATAATATGCAAATAACGGAAGATTTAATTACAACGACAATTCTATAAATAATTGAACAGCGCAACGATTATAAGAAGAGAACATGATTTTATTATAAAACATAAAACCGCGACATGTATTAGCATTGTAGAAAATTGACATGTTAGACAATACTAAAAATATGTATTCATTATTTTATATTAGTGCTAATTTATTTCTACTTTTATTTGTGTGTAGTTCCTTTGTATTATAAAACTTCTCAAGAAAAACAAAAAAGTCAAAATAATGTCAATTTTACGTCATATTGACTAAAAATGACTTTTTATACTGACATTCTATCTGTTTAATTTTTAAAAGATAATTAAAGGTTTCCATTTTCAATATTCAGATATCATTGTAGTTTGCAGAAGTGTTGAGTGATCGTACACACAGAAAAAAAATGTTGTTGATTCAATTGAACGTCGATGTCACGAGCTGCCATAAACATATGCAGTTGATTCATCAGTATTTTGTTAATTCAATGACAAAATTAATCAAATCAAGATTTCATGCTTTTGTTTATCCTGCATATGTTTAAACAAAAATATGTTTGTGGCAGCCCGTGACGTCGACGTTCAATTGAATCAACAACATTTTGTTTCAGTGTATTAAAAATTTCATTGTTGACTAAAATATTATTTTAAGCAGCTCACTTTTTAAAGTTGTATCTCAATTATTTTTAATACAAAATAATAATTTTTTTAGATAATGAGCAAGAGGAACGTCCCGGTCCCTCCAGACAAATGGCTTCCGGTTCAATTGGAGATAATATGCAAGGCGAAAGTGTCGGTCCCTCCAGACAAATGGATTTCGATCCAACTGAACAGCCGGACAAGTATGTATGCAATCTCTGGTTAAGACTATTCTGTTCTTTGGACGTGCTTTATAATCATTTAAAGGTCCACATGAATTATCTTTACAACCATTGCGACCTATAACATTTATTTGTAAATCTTATTTCAATGCACATACGCGTTTGACACGTAATGTTAATCGTTTCAAGTGTGATATATGCAAATCAATTTTTTATGATCTCTTCGACCTTGAATGGCACAAAAAAAACACCATAGTGTAGGCAAAAAATCCGTAACAACGGAGGAACAGAAGTACGAGTTGAAGCGTAAGCAAAGGAATCTCGAACGCGTAAGCAAAGGAATCTCTATAAAAAAAGAGAGAGAAAAGTACTTGTTGAGTAATAAAAGGTTCGAAGGCGACAACTTTGACGCGGACTCGAAAGGTTTGTCTCGGCAACTTTAATTTTCTGTGTAAAATTGGCTACAAAATGAGTGTTTTTGTAATATATACATTATTATATATTCTTGTTCTAATAATATGCAAATGACGAAAGATTTAATTACAACGACAATTCTTTAAATAATTGAACAGCGCAGCGATTATAGGAAGAGAACATGATTTTATTATAAAACATAAAACCGCTACATGTATTAGCATTGTAGAAAATTGACATGTTAAACAATACTAAAAATATGTATTCATTCTTTTATATTAATGCTAAGTTTTTTTTCACTTTTATTTGGGTGTAATTCCTTTATATTATAAAACTTTCCAAGAAGAACAAAACAGTCAAAATGATATCAATTTTATGTCATATTGACTATATTTATGTCATTTTTTTAGTCATGAAAATCTCGATCTCGAAGATGACTAAAAAATGATTTTTTTATACTGGCTTCCTTACTTGTTTAAATTTTAGAAAATGTGACGTACGTTTCTCGACTGTGTAGATGCAATGCATATTATTATGAAGATAATTTAAGGTTATCGTTTTTTATATTCAGATATATTATTGTAGTTCGCTAAAGAGTTGAGTAATTTTTAAAAATTAAATTGTTGATTAAAATATTATTTAAAGCAGCTTACTTCTTAAATTTGCATCTTTATTATTTTTAATACAAAATAATAATTTTTTTAGATAATAAGCATTACAAGTGTGATAAATGTGGGAAATTATTTGCAAATTTATACAACCTTAGAAGGCACAAAAGGACATTTCATAATAATGGCAAAGAAGACGACGGACTCGAAAGGTTTGTCTCAGCAACTTTAATATTCTGTGTAAAATTGATTACAAAATGAGTGGTTTTTGTAATATGTACATTATTATATATTCTTGTTCTAATAATATGCAAATGACGGAATATTTAATTACAATTCTTCAAATAATTGAACAACGCAGCGATTATAGAAAGAGATCATGATTTTATTATAAAACATAAAACCACTAGACATGTATTAGCAATGTAGAAAATTGACATGTTAGACAATACTAAAAATATGTATTCATTCTTTTATATTAATACTAAGTTTTTTTTACTTTATCTGTGTCTAATTCCTTTGTGTTATAAAACTTCCCAAGAAGAACAAAAAAGTCAAAATGACATCAATTTTATGTCATATTGACTATATTTATGTCATTTTTAGTCTAAAAATGAAGATGACTTTTTATACTGGCTTCCTTACCTGTTTAAATTTTAGAAAATGTGACGTACGTTTCTCGACTGTGTAGATGCAATGCATATTATTATGAAAATAATTTAGGGTTATCGTTTTTTATATTCAGATATTATTGTAGTTCGCAGAAGAGTTGAGTAACTTTTTAAAAATTAAATTGTTGATTAAAACATTATTTAAAGCAGCTCACTTCTTAAAGTTTATTCTCTATTATTTATAATACAAAATAATAATTTTTTTAGATAATGAGCAAGAGAAAGGTGCCGATCCCTCCAGACAAATGGATTCAGGTTCAACTGGAAATAATATGCAAGCTGAAGGTGTCGATTCCTCCAGACAAATGGATTCCGATCTAACTGAACAACCGGACAAGTATGTATGCCATCTCAGGTTAAGACTATTCTGTTCTTTCGACGTGCTTCATAATCATTTAGAGGTCCACAAATTTAATCAGAATTATCCTTGCTACAATTGCGACCTAACATTCATTTGTAAATCCCATTTCAGTGCACATACGCGTTCGTCGCACACTGTTGGTCGATGGAAATGTGATTTTTGCACGAAATCTTTTGCGGATTTACGCTTGCTTTCACAGCACGAAGAGAAAGAGCATAAGAAAGAAAAGGAAATGCGAGACGGAGATGCCGGTCCTTCCAGACAGAAGTATTCCGGTTCTAAATAATAATTGAAAGAGAAAAGGAACGTAACAATGTGATAATTGAAAAAGAAGAACGTAACAATGTGATCCTGCTCGATCCTGGGCCGTGACGAAGACTTATCTCAACATCTTGATTTTATACTGAACTGCACACCAGATTGAGAAGAACAAAATTGAAGACGTTGAACCTATTGAACAATCCAAGGATAATCAGCAGCGCGATGACAGCTCCAGACAAAATATTTATGTAGCACAACAAGAAGGCGATGAATCTTTCGGATCTGTTTCGGGCCTCTTGCAATACTCCTCTTTATCCGATATAAATATGAAGATCCCGAACTTCTAATAAAGAATATTTCAAGTCTCTAATCTTAAAATTGACGCGCAAAAGCCGCAAGCATTGACAAATAGAATCGAGTTGGTCGAAGGCGAAGAAGTTCAACAGCAAAGTATACATTGCTAAAGCATTTTGCACAGCACCAATATGACAGGAAATTGAAATGTAAAATTGCGACACGGATTTCAGTAAGCTCGACCAATGGTACAGATACAAATGTCAAAACGAAGAAAATATCGCCAAGATAAAACCGTTTAAATTTTGGTGCAACACAAATTTCCAACATGATAAAAATTTCGAATTTTACCTACTCGATTCTATCAAATCCAAGCCATATTTAAATGTAAAAGACCAGTTTGATTTGAAATGAATTCCGATTAATTTAAATCTTCTTCAATAAGTAAAAATCAAAAATTATTCTTTTACTAATAATTTAATGTAATCGCATAATGCAACTTCAAAAATATATGGATGTAGATAGACAAACATATATATATATATATATATATATATATATATTTAAAAATTTATATATTATATATAAATTTATATTTATTTATATATAAATATAACTATATATATCTACAATTTTTACTTTTCAATACTTAAAATCGTCTTTTTTATTTTTGAATGTATCTCATTAACGTCTATCCTGCAATTTAAATATGATTTGTTTAAATATATATCTATATATATTTAAATAACATACTTTAAATATAGGATATCGTTAATTATGAGATACATAAAGAAGATAATTTTAAATATAGAAACGTAAAATTATACAATAAAATTTTGTCACATAGAAAATTTTGCTCGCTCATAAATCAACATTAATAACATTATTAACTTGTTTTCTCTGTTTTAGATAAAGACAATCTTTAATAACATTAAGTTATTATAATGTAATTATTATATTATTAATCATTATTTTGTTGTTGTATCAATAATTAATCTGTTAATTAGTAATTATTGATTTATAATTCATGCAATATTAATGATTATTGAAAATGAAATTACACTATCGTTTATGTATATAAAATTGGTATTATTAACAATTATATATCGTATTAATTAGACAATTGTACGTACAGATACATGTGCAGACGTACACATACATACCCAGTTAGCCACAGTAATTAGTATGACATCATTTTAATGTCATAATAATTACTGTGGCTATCTGGGTATATACAAACGTACACATACGACATAATTATAATTATTACTTTCTGACAACCAATAATTAAACAATTTAATTATTAACATTATAAATTTAATAATTATAATTTACGAGTATAATTCTCGCATAGAAGAAATTTTTAATTTATATTTCATATTATCCGTTAAACTTTAATTTTCTATGTAAAATTGGTTACTAAATGAGTGATTTTTGTAATATACATTATTATTTTGTTGTAATATTTTTGTTCTAATAATATGCAAATGACGGAAGATTTAATTACAACGACAATTCTTTCAATAATTGAACAGCGCAGCTATTATAAAAAAGAACGTGATTTTATTATTTTAATATAAAACATGAAACCGCTAGACATGTATTAGCGTTGTAGAAAATTGACATTTTAGGTAATACTAAAAATATGTATTCATTCTTTTATATTAATGCTAAGTTTTTTTCACTCTTTTGTGTGTAGTTTCTTTGTATTATAAAACTTCCCAAGAAGAACAGAAAAGTCAAAATAATGTCAATTTGATGTCATATTGATTAAATTTATGTAATTTTTTGGTCATGGAAATCTCGATTTGGAAGATGACTAAGAAATGACTTTTAATATTGACTCTTATTACCTGTTTGATTTTTAAAAAATGTGACTAACGTTTCTCCTCTGTGTATATACAATGCTTATTATTATGAAGATAATTAAAGATAATGTTTTTCATATTCACATATTATTGTAATTCGTAGAGTTGAGTTATTGTATTAAAAATTAAATTGTTGACTAAAATGTTATTTTAATCGGCTCACTTCTTAAAGTTGCATCTCAATTATTTTTAATACAAACTAATAATTTCTTATTATTGTGAACATCAAAATATCATCAAAATTTTATACAATTTGATGTCATTTTGACAAACTAGAATTTGACAATATTTTGACATGAATTTGACATCATTTTGACATATCTGTTCTCTTCGGGTTACCATGACATGCGATATTTCAGTGCGCAAATTATGTTTTTCTTCATTAATAAATATTGAAATAATAATTATAGTTATTAAATATATGTATTAATAACAAATTTCGATATTTCAGTGCGCAAATTATGTCTTTATTCATAAATAGATAATAAAATAATAATTATAGTTACTAAATATATGTATCAATAACAAATTTCGATATTTTAGTGCGCAAATTATGTCTTTATTCATTAATAGATAATAACATAATAATTATAGTTATTAAATATATGTATCAAATAACAAATATACAAAAAACAATCCTATTTTTGAGTAACATATTTGTAAATGTTTATACATATTTATTAAATGGTTAGAGATACTTCTCTAAACCAAATTGACTTTATCATTTTATTAATTTGTACCGTGTTATCTTTTCTCTAAATGCGTTTCTCAGTTGTGCATCGTAATCAATTAAGCTTTTAGCAGTATAAAAGATCGTAGCTTAATTTTTGTTGGAAATATATGAATCTTGATTTAATAAATTGATACATAAAATAAACTTTCGAAATAAATCTAGGAAAAGCGGAATAGGCACGGAAAAACTTCCACGTATGTACGTTTACGGTCAAAGTAAGAATCATTTATATGCGTATATAATAAATAAAAATTATTTATGTTCAAAATATCGCTGCATGACTTCCACACACGATTCAGATAAGAGCGTTACTGGAATAATCATTTTGATGCTCTACACGTTAAGTCGAGCATCTTTTCTATATCAATCAGTATGGTACCATTTGAAGAAACAACGACGCGAATGTTTTTAGCATCACCGATAAAGGTAATTACAATGTCTAAATACGAATGCAGATTTTAATGTTTGTTCTTTGAAGTATCTAAATTGCAGCGTATATAAAGTGTTAGTCTATCGCTAAAAATTAAACTATTCCATTGAATCCGATAAGTATAATTATAATGTGAATATTGTATACGTACTGCAATGTTGTTTTATTTCTTCCATTTGGTGCACTGTTCTAATTAACGACAAAATTTTCTAAATTTTATTTTTAAGGCTGTTTATAATTATTTATAATTGTCGAAAAATTTAAGAAACACTTTCGCAATGCATAGTTGCATAAATAATTTTTAAAAATTAAATTATTAAACATTTAAAATGTATACCAATCATGCAAATATTCCAAATGTTAAGAGAAACATTAAATCTTCAAAATATGTGATTAAATATCTAATTTACAAGAAAACTGTGTTCCTGTAACGTGCAGCTGTAACTCTGGCATCAAGTATAAATTTAAATAATACTGTCTAATCCAGTCTGCCAGAATCCTTGGCGTTGTACCAATTGCAATCTACTATTAACAAAAATCGTATTTAATAATTAATTATGAGAGGCTCAATTATGAGTTGTCACGTACGTAGTTCGACTTCCACGAAATAACATACTGACTTTTTTCCATATGGACGAATGAAATATCGAATGTGAAAACAAAACATATTGAATACAATTCGTAAAAAAACTACGAATCATCTCGAGTAATGTCGAGAACGTTTATCCAATGATATCTTCCAAGACTTATCTTCCATTAACTCATCCTGATGATCTGAACAAAGTCGCTTCTAATATGGGCGCAAAAGAACATACATGCAAAGTTACGCATTACTTTTTTTTGTAATATTACATATACTATATATACACCTACAACTCATATTTACAATGACATTATACACACGCCTACACTTACACGGAAATTACTCAACTCGGCGAAGCTACCGTTATCACACGCTATTGAATCTGTGAACAGCAAGGAAAGACCAAGTCTGTTTCGCTGAGGCTATTAAACATTGAAGAAGAAGATGATGATCTGAACAAAAAATTGCAATCGCTAAAAAGTTATTCAACATAATACCCAACCAAAATATTAAAAAAGAAATAAAAGTTTTGAAAGCACGATGTATTTTCGAAATATAAATCAGAGTATATAAATATCGAAAGTACAACATTATTAATTAAATCGAAAATGACGGAGAATAGATGCAGCTATTTGTATGTAAGAAATAAGAGAATATTCTCTACCTGCTGCAGATGCACTTAAACATTTTTACTTTTACCAATTAATATATTCATCTACCACAGATAGCACAGAATCCGTGTCGATTATGCTGTAACATTAATTTGATCAGTGTGTGATATTAATTAGAATTTTAAAATAAATTATAACAGTTGTATTTATTAACATATCCATGCGAAATTTTCTGAGTAGTAACAGCAGAATTATTTTTAAACGCGTTGTTCCATTTTCTATTCAGGTTTATTTAATTTTTTATATTTTACTGTCGTGATTTACATGCTATTAGATATTGACAATTCTTCTTAAACAATGTTTATTATCGAACAGATGATTATTTGATTCATGTTCTCTCATATTTTTGGACGCGTTCTCTTACTCTTTATAAGTTTTAGTACCAAATAGGGATAATTAATTTTTCGAAATCTTGCAGTTTTTATTTAGATAATAAAACTTTAGTATATGATTCTTTTCAGTCTTTCTTATCTTCAAACCTATGACGATTTCATTAATGTATATCGAATTATTAAAATACGCGCTGTTCATTTTATTATGTTTTAATCACTTGCGGCCATAATTAAATATTTCTTATAATGATATAATTTACTGCTATAACTTACATTTTGTCATGTTTTTTAATTTTTGCATTATTAAAATATATATAAACAATGTTATTTTGCCTGATTCTAAAGTATTAAAAGTCGACGTAATGTTTCCGTAGACGACACTCCTTGTTATTACGTATATTAAACGGAAGAATTTGTAAGTTGGAATGTTTTGATGTAAAATTAATCTGCAGATAATGTACTATCTAAATATTGAAATAAAATATTTTTGGCTACTTTTATATCGTATTATAAATCGACTAGCTTTTCGGACCGCGCTTCGCGCGGTCCTCATATAGCCTATATTAAATCCGTTTTAACACAAAATTTAATTCTTTTTTTGTATTACCACGAACTACTTCTACATTTGTTGTCCGACTTTCACGAAATTTATATCAAAATAAATGTTTAAATTTTTTTTGGGTGGGTGCGTGGGTGGATAAATAAAGTGATAAAAATTTGTTAAAATCATATAGTAGCCATCCCGGACAAAATTTGAGTACAAATTTCGAAAAAGTCTGTGAATAAATGTTTGAATGCGTGGGTGGATGCATGGGTGGAGGTGTAACACTTGAAAAAACCGCATCGTCTCCATCTCCAAAAAATTTGCAACAATTTGGTACCGATTTTTAAAAAATCGGTTCATAAGTATGCGATTGCGCGGGTGGGTGCGTGGATGGAAGCGTAAACTTAAAAAACCCACACAGCAGTTTCCTCAGAAAATTTGCAACATTTTGGTACTAATTTCGTGAAAATTGGTCCATAAATGAGCATGGATGTGGGTAAATGCGTGGGTGGCTGAGTGGGTGGAAGTGTAACACTTAAAAAAACCGCATCGTCGCTATCTCCAAAAATTTTGCAACATTTTGATACCATGTGTTCAGAAATATTGCAAAAAAAATTTTTTTTGCAAAAACACCCGCCTCTGAGAAAAAAAAATAAAAATAAAAAAATTTTTTAAAAAAACCCAGCAGCCACCCCCGAAAAATTTGCAACATTTTGGTACCAATTTCGAGACAATCGGTCCACAAATGCGAAAGTAGTTCGGGTACAGACAGACAGACAGACAGACGGACGGTGCTTATATATATAGATAATTGATATTTTGTCATTTCTTATCATGATTTTTTCTCTGGAGAACCTTGTGTTTGTATAAATAATATATAATTAGGTCATTATACATTTACAACGTTTATTCAATTTTAATGAAAAAATCCATATGTGCAATATATACATATATTTCGAAAGTTTCCGACAAAGAAACAATTTTCTACGCGTGCACGACAAATCTCAATAATTATTTTTGTTCAAAATACAATCTCACTCATGATTTACGCTTACAATTCAGATAAGAGCAGGGACTGAAAATATTGTCGTATTTCGATGTTCTATGCGCGTTAAAATGTGCATCTTTCATTACCGACTATATATGCAACTATCGTTTTTATATTAATTATGAATTAAAACTGATATTGTATGATTAATTCTGACAAGCAATTTTAACGTAAGAACAATTTTTATAATCTCTCCTTCTGATAGAAGAGATATAATTATTGCTGGCTAATCATAAGACATTCAAATTTATAAACTGGCCCGGTTGCTGCGAAGTAACTCTCATGAAAACACACACATATATATATAAACAGTATTTAATATTTATTTGGGAATACGTCCCGATAGACATATATTAAATTTATACACAGTACAGACCAGTAAAGTTCGTATTAGTAAAATCAAAGGCGATTATACATACACGCTTTAACGTCGTTCCGTTGAAAAGAAACGAGATTAATAGGAATTACAAAATAAATTCTTGTCACGATTATCTTTTAACAATAAGTATCTGTGCACATTTCTGATTCAAAACAGCAAAATCTAAACACATTTTAATAAAATCTTCAAGTGAAAGAGGTAACAAGGAAAATCTAGAGTTAAGCGAGTTATACGAACAAAAAATCAGCAGGTACGTACAAATAAGACACAGATTAAAAAGAATCCTGTGAGAAAAGATAAATTATGCAGAAATTATCTGTATTACATATATTTTTTGCTATATTTAATATATATATAGTAATATTTTTAAAATTTTTCCACAATTTTGATTAAAACAATAAAGTAAAAAGTACACTTTGTCTTAAATTTTATCAAGAAAATAATACATATAATGCGACAATATTCTGTTTAATATTTTATAATCTTTGAAAATTGACAATATCAAATATCGCTGATTAACTTGTTAAATAAAAATAGTAAATAGCTAATCAAGGAATAACCGTAAATTATTCAAAAAATAATTTAAAAATTATTAGAAAAATATAAACAAACAAATAGGTCGAACACATTATTATATCTTCGAGGTCTTAATTGTTTTGAAGTATATCTTGCATTGTCATGTGTTAGTGACATAAATATATATATAAAGAATTTCTAGTGATATAAAAATCAGTAATTATAATATATTAGTGTATTAAAATTCACAAAATTAAGAATTTGATTTTCTCTACGCCTGTATTTGTTTGTTCATATAAATGAGTCTTTTAATAGATATATAATTTCAAATAATAAAGTACATGAGTAAAGATACATGATTATAAACGGTTTTTCGTCATTTCTTGCTTTTGGTTTATTTTTTATAATAAATAAATATTTGTTCTATTTCTTTTCTTTATAAATACAACAATTAGAAATTTCTTTTATTTCAAAAAGAGACTCAGATCGATAAACTAAAATTTTTATATTTAGAACGAAAATATTTTACATAATACATAATGTTTTCCATTAATTTTATGATTATTTATTATATTGTAAATAATACATTAAAAGATGCCGGTAGATAAAAACGTTATTCGACCACATTATTCAACAAAAGAAAAATTCCTTTAAGAATTTTAACTTTAGTATTTAGAGAAAGTAGAACATATGTGTAGTTTACTACTTAAATACTTATTATAAATTATTAAAATTATGTTTTTTAAATTCTCAAACATGACTAGTTTGACGATTTATTTGTTTTTCTGTCCCGTTTTTAACTACATTAATATAAATATGTATTTCTAAATTAATCAAATTATTTAGTATTTTTATATGTTAACAGGCCATTACTAAGCTAACGTTCAAATGTTATTTGATATTGATTCATCACTAATTTCTACGTGATAACAATTATATTGTAAATTAGTCTTTTATTAATTTAACTAATTTTTATTTATAACATTCATCTGTGTCTGTTCTGATAACAAATGATTTTTGTATCACTTTTTTGTTTCTTTCTTTTTTTTATTAATATATGAATCATAATTTTTAACTCAGCAATTGATATATAAAATCAAAAAGTTTACTTTTATATTTATATCATTTTGGCATTATTAAATTCCTCTTCTCGATTACAATTATTTAATATTATTAATTATTTTGGCATTTTAATAGTTTTTTTTTATAAGAAATAATGAAAAAGGAGGTGCGAGGTACCGTTTTTAAAAGTTTACCTAGCAGCAAATTTTATATTCATTTCATCAAAACATTTTTTTTCCTAATAAATAAGAAATACATTTTTTTACAATATAATTGTTTTTATAAAACATAAACACCTATATCTTTGAAAATTATTTCTATGTGTAATACGTATAACTATTATTCATAAAAATTTATTCTAAATGTATAATTGTTTGGGCGAGCGTGGCTTAGCTCGATAATTACTTTTCGGCCCAAAATCGCGAATCGGGAGAGGATCGTTAAGACGGAATAGTTATTAGGTGTTATAATTATATTGTCTTTTACTGCGTTTATTCGGATTATCAAATACAGACTTTTACTCTCCACCGAGGAAAACCGTGTATCGCGAGCGCGAGTCAAAATCTATCTCCCCTTCGAGGCCGCGCATTGTCTTCTTTCTCTCGATTTTTCCACGACCTTATTTTTATTTTTAGGTGATTAGCCTATCTATTATTTTGAAGAACTTTCGCTTTTTATTCTGTTCGGAAATCACAATCTACCTTCGTCATGCTAGACGCTTATTTATTTATTTATTATTTCGTGTCACCGGTCGCGATATCCTTAACTCACGTCGCTTGTCATATATTTTTATTTCGTGTAAATTTTATTTTCTATATATTTTAATATGCTTGTGGCATTTATCGCCACAATTGTATACGTGAAAAATTTATCAAATAACGAAAATAAACAGTAAATTTAATATTATGACAATATGAATGTTTGTCTTTGATAGCATATCATCTTATTTTATGTTCAATTTGTATAATATTTATTATTTAATAATAATTGATACAACGTCGTACATTACATTGTTGTAATGAAGCTTTGCATTAAAAAGATTGTTCAATAATACATATATAGTTGTTAATTACTTTTTAATTTTAGATTTCAGGTTAACCACGATTAAACAACTGACCATAATTGCTCTAGAGTGTTGCAATATACTCGCCGGAAAGCACAGTAATCAAATGAATTTATAAATACTATTCTCAAAATAAATTTGTTGGTAAAAAAGAAAGTCACAAGCAGGACGAAGATATGCAAGACGGAGGTGCCGATCCCTCCAGACAAATGGATTCCGATCCAACTGGACAGCCGGAAACGTATGAATGCCATATCTGTGGACTGACATTCGATTTTTGGCTCATTTTTGATATTCATTTATCGTCCCACGGCACCGGATCGGAGCGTAAGAGAAAGTATTGTAATATATACAATACATTATTGTATATTCTTGTTCTAATAATATGCAAATGACGGAAGATTTAATTACAACGACAATTCTTTAAATAATTGAACAGCGCAACAATTATAAGAAGAGAACATGATTTTATTATAAAACATAAAACCGCTAGACATGTATTAGCATTGTAGAAAATTGACATTTGAGACAATATTAAAAATATCTATTCATTTTTTTATATTAATGCTAAGTTTTCTTTATTTTTATTTGTGTGTAGTTCCTTTGTATTATAAAACTTCTCAAGAAGAACAAAAAAGTCAAAATAATGTCAATTTTTTGTAATACATATTAACTAAAAATGACTTTTTATACTGACATTTTATCTGTTTAATTTTTAAAAGATAATTAAAGGTTTCCATTTTTAATATTCAGATATCATTGTAGTTCGCAGAAGTGTTGAGTGATCGTACACACAGAGAAAAAATGTTGTTGATTCAATTGAACTTCGATGTCACGGGCTGCCACAAACATATGCAGTTGATTCATCGGTATTTTGTTAATTCAATGAAAAAATTAATCAAATCAAGATTTCAAGCTTTTGTTTATCCTGCATATGTTTAAACAAAAATAAGTTTGTGGCAGCCCGTGACGTCGACGTTCAATTGAATCAACATTTTTTCTCAGTGTATTAAAAATTTCATTTTTGACTAAAATATTATTTTAAGCAGCTCACTTCTTAAAGTTGTATTTCAATTATTTTTAATACAAAATAATAATTTTTTTAGATGATAAGCAAGAGGAACGTCCCGGTCCCTCCAGACAAATGGCTTCCGGTTCAACTGGAGATAATATGCAAGGCGAAAGTGTCGGTTCTTCCAGACTAAGGAATTCCGATCCAACTGAACAGCCGGACAAGTATGTATGCAATCTCTGGTTAAGACTATTCTGTTCTTTGGACGTGCTTCATAATCATTTAAAGGTCCACATGAATTATCTTTGCAACCATTGCGACCTATAATATTCATTTGTAAATCCCATTTCAATGCACATACGCGTTCGACACGTAATGTTAATCTTTTCAAGTGTGATATATGCAATTCAACTTTTTATGATCTCTTCGACCTTGAATGGCACAAAAAAAACACCATAGTGTAGGCAAAAAATCCGTAACAACGGAGGAACAGAAGTACGAGTTGAAGCGTAAGCAAAGGAATCTCGAACGCGAATCCTTTAAAAAGATGAAACAGGAGTTAAAGCGTAAAAGGGAGAAGCTTAGATCCGACATCTCTGACGCGGACTCGAAAGGTTTGTCTCGGCAACTTTAATTTTCTGTGTAAAATTGGCTACAAAATGAGTGGTTTTTGTAATATATACATTATTATATATTCTTGTTCTAATAATATGCAAATGACGAAAGATTTAATTACAACGTCAATTCTTTAAATAATTGAACAGCGCAGCGATTATAGGAAGAGAACATGATTTTATTATAAAACATAAAACCGCTAGACATGTATTAGCATTGTAGAAAATTGACATGTTAGACAATACGAAAAATATGTATTCATTCTTTTATATTAATGCTAAGTTTTTTTTACTTTTATTTGTGTGTAATTCTTTTGTATTATAAAATTTCGCAAGAAAACAGAAAAGTCAAAATAATGTCAATTTTACGTAATATTGACTAAAAATGACTGTTTAAACTTACATTTTATTATACTTGTTTAATTTTTAGATGATAATTAAAGGTTACCGTTTTTCATATTCAGATATTATTGTAGTTCGCAGAAGAGTTGAGTGATCGTACACGGGCTGCCACAAGCATATGCAGTTGATTTATCAGTATTTTGTTAATTCAATGACATAATTAATCAAATCAAGATGTCATCCTTTTGTTTATACTGCATATGTTTAAACAAAAATATGTTTGTGGCAACTTGTGACGTCGACGTTCAATTGTATCAACAACATATTTTTCTCAGTGTATTAAAAATTATATTGTTGACTAATATATTATTTTAAGCAGCTCACTTCTTAAGATTGTATCTCAATTTTTTTTAATACAAAATAATAATTTTTTTAGATGATAAGCAAGAGGAACGTCCCGGTCCCTCCACACAAATGGCTTCCGGTTCAACTGGAGATAATATGCAAGGCGAAGGTGTCGGTTCTTCCAGACAAAGGGATTCTGATCCAACTGGACAACAGAAAGACGCAAGTGCCGGTCCCTCTAGACATATAGATTCCGATCCAACTGGACAGCCGGAAACGGTCGAATGCAATATCTGTTTAAGAACTTTCTCGTCTGAGGACGTGCTTAAGTATCATTTAGTGTTCCACAAATTTATAAAGGATAAATATCCTTGCAAGCTTTGCGGCTTAAGATTCATTTGTTATCCAGATATTAAAAATCATATCAATGAGCCACACAAGAGTGGTCCTTTGAAGTGTAATATTTGCGGGGATTCTTTTAAGAATCTTCACCATCTTAACATGCACAAAAAGAATTGTCATTAACACAAAGAGGTAATAACAAAAAGTCACAAGTAGAACGAAAATGCATCTTCTCCAAATCAGCAACGTGATGAAAGCACCAGACAAGATATTAATGTCCCGCAACAAGAAAGTGACGAATCCCCCGGAACTTTTTCGAACATCCCCTCTTGTTTCGACCCTGGAGATTCCGAACTTTAAATGAAAATTGAAAGAGAAAAGGAACGTAACAATGTGATAATTGAAAAAAAAGAACGTAACAATGTGATAATTGAAGCAGAATAAGAATGTAACAATGTGATAATTGAAGAAGAAGAGGAACTCGATCCTGCCTGGCCGCGACGAGGAGTTATCTCAACATCTTGATTTTAGACTGCACGCCAGATTAAAGAGAACAAAATTGAAGACGTTGAACCTATTGAATCCAAGAATAATCAGCAACGCGATGAAAACTCCAGACAGGATATTTATGTAGCACAACAAGAAAGCGACGAATCTCTCGGATCTGTTTCAGGCATCTCGCAATACTCCTCTCTTTCCGATAAATATGAAAATCCCGAACTTCTAATAAAGAATATTTTAAGTCTCTAATCTTAAAATTGACGCGCAAAAGCCGCAAGCATTGACAAGTAAAATCGAGTTGGTCGAAGGCGAAGAAGTTCAACAGCAAAGTATACATCGCTAAAGCATTTTGCACAGCACCAATATGACAGGAAATTGAAATGTAAAATTGCGACACGGATTTCAGCTCGACCAACAGTACAGATACAAATGTCAAAACGAAGAAAATATCGCCAAAGTATAGAGCCGTTTAAATTTTGATGCAACACAAATTTTCAACATGATAAAAATTTCGAAATTTACCTACTCGATTCTATCAAATCCAAGCCATATTTAAATGTAAAAGACCAGTTTGATTTGAAATGAATTCCGAATAATTTAAATCTTCTTCAATAAGTAAAAATCAAAAATTATTCTTCTACTAATAATTTTATGTAATCGCATAATGCAACTTGAGAAATATGGATGTAGATAGACAAACATATATATATATATATATATATATATATATATTTAAAATTATATTTATATATAAATTTATATTTATTTATATATAAATATAACTATATATATCTACAATTTTTACTTTTCAATACTTAAAATCGTCCTTTTTATTTTTGAATAATCTCATTAACGTCTATCCTGCAATTTAAATATGATTTGTTTAAATATATATCTATATATATTTAAATAACATACTTTAAATATAGGATATCGTTAATTATGAGATACATAAAGATACATAAAGATAATTTTAAATATAGAAACGTAAAATTATACAGTAAAATTTTGTCACATAGAAAATTTTGCTCGCTCATAAATCAACATTAATAACATTATTAACTTGTTTTTTCTGTTTTAGATAAAGATAATCTTTAATAATATTAAGTTATTATAATGTAATCATTATATTATTAATCATTATTTTGTTATTGTATCAATAACTAATCTGTTAATTAGTAATTATTGATTTATAATTTATGCAATATTAATGATTATTAAAAATGAAATTACACTATCGTTTATGTATATAAAATCGGTATTATTAACAATTATATATCGTATTAATTAGACAATTGTACGTACAGATACATGTCAGACGTACACATACATACCCAGTTAGCCACAGTAATTAGTATGACATCAATTTGATGTCATAATAATTACTGTGGCTATCTGGGTATGTACAAACGTACACATACGACATAATTATAATTATTACTTTCTGACAACCAATAATTAAACAATTTAATTATTAACATTATAAATTTAATAATTATAATTAACGAGTATAATTCTCGCATAGAAGAAATTTTTAATTTATATTTCATATTATCCGTTAAACTTTAATTTTCTATGTAAAATTGGTTACTAAATGAGTGATTTTGTAATATACATTATTATTTTGTTGTAATATTTTTGTTCTAATAATATGCAAATGACGGAAGATTTAATTACAACGACAATTCTTTCAATAATTGAACAGCGCAGCTATTATAAAAAAGAACGTGATTTTATTATTTTAATATAAAACATGAAACCGCTAGACATGTATTAGCGTTGTAGAAAATTGACATTTTAGGTAATACTAAAAATATGTATTCATTCTTTTATATTAATGCTAAGTTTTTTCACTTTTTTGTGTGTAGTTTCTTTGTGTTATAAAACTTTCCAAGAAGAACAGAAAAGTCAAAATAATGTCAATTTGACGTCATATTGATTAAATTTATGTCATTTTTTGGTCATGGAAATCTGGATTTGGAAGATGACTAAGAAATGACTTTTAATATTGACTCTTATTACCTGTTTGATTTTTAAAAAATGTGACTAACGTTTCTCCTCTGTGTATATACAATGCTTATTATTATGAAGATAATTAAAGATAATGTTTTTCATATTCACATATTATTGTAATTCGTAGAAGAGTTGAGTTATTGTATTAAAAATTAAATTGTTGACTAAAATGTTATTTTAATCGGCTCACTTCTTAAAGTTGCATCTCAATTATTTTTAATACAAACTAATAATTTTTTATTATTGTGAACATCAAAATATCATCAAAATTTTATACAATTTGATGTCATTTTGACAAACTAGAATTTGACAATATTTTGACATGAATTTGACATCATTTTGACATATCTGTTCTCTTCGGGTTACCATGACATGCGATATTTCAGTGCGCAAATTATGTTTTTCTTCATTAATAAATATTGAAATAATAATTATAGTTATTAAATATATGTATTAATAACAAATTTCGATATTTCAGTGCGCAAATTATGTCTTTATTCATAAATAGATAATAAAATAATAATTATAGTTACTAAATATATGTATCAATAACAAATTTCGATATTTTAGTGCGCAAATTATGTCTTTATTCATTAATAGATAATAACATAATAATTATAGTTATTAAATATATGTATCAAATAACAAATATACAAAAACAATCCAATTTTTGAGTAACATATTTGTAAATGTTTATACATATTTATTAAATGGTTAGAGATACTTCTCTAAACCAAATTGACTTTATCATTTTATTAATTTGTACCGTGTTATCTTTTCTCTAAATGCGTTTCTCAGTTGTGCATCGTAATCAATTAAGCTTTTAGCAGTATAAAAGATCGTAGCTTAATTTTTGTTGGAAATATATGAATCTTGATTTAATAAATTGATACATAAAATAAACTTTCGAAATAAATCTAGGAAAAGCGGAATAGGCACGGAAAAACTTCCACGTATGTACGTTTACGGTCAAAGTAAGAATCATTTATATGCGTATATAATAAATAAAAATTATTTATGTTCAAAATATCGCTGCATGACTTCCACACACGATTCAGATAAGAGCGTTACTGGAATAATCATTTTGATGCTCTACACGTTAAGTCGAGCATCTTTTCTATATCAATCAGTATGGTACCATTTGAAGAAACAACGACGCGAATGTTTTTAGCATCACCGATAAAGGTAATTACAATGTCTAAATACGAATGCAGATTTTAATGTTTGTTTATTGAAGTATCTAAAGTGCAGCGTATATAAAGTGTTAGTCTATCGCTAAAAAATAAACTATTCCATTGAATCAGATGAGTATAATTAATATGTGAATATTGTATTGTAAACACATTTTTACTTTTACCAATTAATATATTCATCCACCACAGATAGCACAGAATCCGTGTCGAATATGCTGTAACATTATTTTGATCAGTGTGTGATAATAATTAGAATGTTAAAAT